GAGGAGCCTGTTGGAGACAATTCCCAGGTTATAATCTAAGACCTGGAGACACATTTATTGAACTTCTATTTTGAGCCAGTCTCTTCTCCCTCCGTGCCTGTTGACTGGGGACACCAAGGGGCCCTCAGGACAGTGAGCCCAGGGGTGGAGGTTTGGGGTCTGGGGGCTGTGCAAGATGCATCTGTTCCCACAGGGCAGCTCAGTGCCTTTTCCTGGCCCTGGGACACAGGTCCTACTTTTGACACAGGTTCCACCTGACTTTCTGTCTGTGAGCAGTGGGATCTCTCCATGTCCTGGGGGTCAATCATCTGAGTCAATTCTGCCCTTCAGAGCACCTTTGATGCCGGGTGTCACTCTCCTCTTCAAACTGTGGGGACTCATTAGGACTCAGAAAAGAACAACATTCATGGGAGTCCTGTTCCAAGGCAGCAACACACCCAGACACACATTAAATATCAATGTGGCGCTACCACATCCTGAATGGTTGAAGGGCACTTGAGCAGGGCACTTCCTCCCTTGACTTCTCAGCAATACCAACAGCTGCCCCACAAAGATGGTGAGAATTCCTCTCGACTGAAATATGGAAGAAATGAAACCAGCCATTCAATGCAGATGGAGATGGTGGAGGTTTGCGAAATTGCACAGGAGAGAAGCCTCATCCAAAGGAGTAGAAGAAAGACTCCAGGTCAGACCCCGCGTGTGGAGTCACCTGGATGATTCAGGGGGAGGTCATGTTCTTTCCATTGCATGGTCCTGGGTCAGTGAGTGAGTCATAAGACACGGTGAACATCTTACCTGCCTCATAGCAGGATGGGTGACAGATCTAAACCAGAAAAGTAAGTCCATTACTATTTCTTTTACCAAACTATCTTAGTAACTTGTGAGAGAGATTTTTTTCTTGAAGTGCACACAAGAACATGAACATAGGAGGAAATGGATACAGAGAATCACTAACATGAAGAACTTCTGTTCCTCATAGGCACCAGCGAGACAGGGAAGAGGATAATTCCGATGGGAAAATGAGACCACGGACTGGCCCTCAGATTACCTAAGAAATATTACAGATCTGTACTGTGGCAGAGCAATTGAAAAGCAAGCAAACACCTTTATCAAGCATCTGATACTGACATGCAAAGGTGCAATGGCATTACGTAAACATGATGAGCTGGCCTTGGCTGATGTTTCTCAGTGGCTAGAGCATCAGCCTGACCACCGAAGGGTCACAGGTTTCCTTCCTGGTGAAGGGCATGTGCCATGGTTGGAGGTTTGCTCCTCAACCCTCATGTGGGATACAACCAATTGGTGTCTCTCTGACATCGATGTTTCTCTCTCTCTTTCCTTCTCTCCCTTCCATCCTCTAAAAATCATTGGAGATAATACCATCATGTGAGGAGTAAAAAGAAAATTTTTAAATAATTTGCTGAGCTTTATGAGTCATTGAAGAAATAAATGTTAAATGTGCATCAAACCACAGGGTGGTACCAATACTTACACTGAATAATGAAAATTAAAAAGGACAGAAACATGAAGGGTTGGCAGGGACGGGAACCTACCAGGACCCTTGAATCAGGGAATGTCTTGGAAATGCTGAGGCCACAGAGAAACTGCTCAGCAGAATCTTTTATAAATGAGCTCCCTCAACGGCCGTGGTTGGGGGACCCATTAGGCTGCTCAGATGCGGAAGCAGCTCCGGACCCACCACATCCTGTGCGTCTCTGTCCTTCAGGCCCAGGACTCCTCCATCTGCAGAGCAGGAGCCGTCAGAGCAGACGCCATGACGCCCATCCTCTCTGCTCTTCTCTGCCTCGGTTAGTTGTGGATATGGGGAGGGAAGGCAGGAGGGAGAGCTGGAGGAGGGGAAGAGTGTTTACTCCCCCTTGTTCATGGGGAAAGTCCGGCTTAAGCAGTTCAAGGGGACAGGGCACTGATGGTAAGGGAACCAGCTGAGACGTCTGGGTGCAAATATCTGAAAGGGACTCTCTTCCAGGGCTGAGTCTGGACCAGAGGACCCGTGTGCAGGCAGGTGAGTCCTCCCTAGGCTCCATGTCTCTCCTCTTACTTCATCTCTGAGGCTCAGGAGGGAGCACAGAAGTGCTGGGATGAGGTGATAAAATGAGAGGATCTTGGGCTGAGCTGGGGATGAGGGTGGGAAGGTCTTTGTAAAGCAGCCTCTGGTTTCCTTTTAGGGACCCTCCCCAAACCCACCATCTGGCCCGAGCCAGGCCCAGTGATCCGCTGGGGGAGCTCTGTGACCATCTGGTGTCAGGGGACCCCACGGGCTGAGGAGTACCTTCTGTATAAAGAGGGAAGCACAGCCTCGTGGTACCAACAGAAGACACTGGATCCCGGGGACAGAGCCAAGTTCTCCATCAAAGACCTGACAAATCCTGATGCAGGGAGATATCGCTGTTCCTATCGCAGTCCCAGTGGCCAGTCAGAGCGCAGTGACCCCCTGGAGCTGGTGATGACAGGTTAGATGACACTCTGGGGCCCCAGCCTCAGGCTCTGCCCTCAGGAAGGGGATCTGCTCTCAGGGTGTCTCCCTCTCACAGCCCCGCCCTGAAGGACATGAGGGAGTTTTGATCCCATTTAACATGATTCCTCCTCCTCTCCTAGGATCCTTCAACAAACCCAGCCTCTCAGCCCTGCCCAGCCCTGTCGTGGCCTCAGGAGGGATCGTGACCCTCCAGTGTGGCTCAGGGCAGGGATTTGACAGGTTCATTCTGACTAAGGAAGGAGGTCACAGGCTCTCCAGGACCCTGGGCTCACAGCCACAGCCCAGTGGGCGGTCCCAGGCCCTGTTCCCTGTGGGCCCTGTTACCCTCACACAGAGGTGGAGGTTCAGATGCTATGGCTCTTTCAGGAGCAACCCCAACGTGTGGTCACACCCCAGTGATGCCTTGGAGCTCCTGGTTCCAGGTAAGTCCCATTATTGTCTCATCAAAGGATTGAGGCACTGGATACATAATTGGCATCATAGCTGTGAGTGGAGCCCCGTGGGAGATGGTGAGGTGGGTACAGGGGCACCTGGGTCAGAGACATGGAGAGAGATAGTCAGAATTGGGGACAGGCCAAGAGAACGGGGCTTAAGGGAGTAGCAGCCCCTGAAATTTATGTCTGGTCTCCCAAGGTGCGTCTGGGAAGCCGTCCCTCCTGACCCAGCAGGGCCCGATCGTGGCCTCAGGACAGAGCCTGACCCTCCAGTGTCGCTCTGTTGTCGGCTATGACAGATTTGCTTTGCACAAGGAGGGGGGACGGGACCTCTCCCAGAGCCTTGTCCTGCAGCTCTCTCAGGCCCACTTCCTCCTGGACACTGTGAGCAGCTCCCACGGAGGCCGGTACAGATGCTACGGTGGATACAACCTCTCCTCGGAGTGGTCAGCTCCCAGTGACCCCCTGGACATCCTGGTGGCAGGTGAGGAGCCATTGGGTTCACTCAGGGACCCATACTCTGCACAGGTCCTGCTGGGGTCTCAGGTGGTGAGAACAGAATGACAGTGCAGGCCCAAGGGAGGGAGAGAAACAGAGAGAGACAGGGGGTAGAAGGGGAGAGGGGGAGACTTAGAGAAATGGAGACAGACAGAGAGGAGGGTCCTTAGAGAGAGGCCTACTGACTCTCAGGGCAGAACAAGGTGGGCAGACAGCCCTCACCCTTCCTCCCTCTCTCTAGGACATCTGGCTGACACACCCTTCCTATCGGTGCGGCCAGGCCCCAGGGTGGCCTCAGGAGAGAACGTGACCCTGCTGTGTCAGTCACAGCGCCCAAGGAACATGTTCCTTCTGTCCAAGGAAGGGGCAGCTGATCCACCCCTGCATCTGATATCAAAGCGCCGAGCTCAGCAGTTCCAGGCAGAGTTCTCCATGTGTCCTGTGACCTCAGCGCATGGGGGCACCTACAGGTGCTACAGCTCACTGAACTCCTTCTCCTACCTTCTGTCACTCCCCAGTGAGCCCCTGGAGCTCCTGGTCTCAGGTGAGGGGCCCCTGAATCTGTCTGCAAGCTGTGAGCTCAAGGTCCTGTCCCCAGAAGGTCATGGGATGAAAGGGAGTGGGGGGCTCTAGAGATGGTCACCCAGAAGGCATTTGCTCTTCAGAGCCCCTCCCCATCCTCACATGCACCCCTCCCCCTCACCTGAATCCTGAAGGTGCGCGGTGGGCAGTGTGAGGGTCTGAAGGGCCACAGGGCAGATGCAGGGGATCTGAGTGA